ATGTTATATAAATAGTTGGTATACTGTTTTGTTTAGAGAATAATAACAAGAAAAAAGTCTATACATGTTCAGTACAGACACAATTTTTCTTTCTAAATATTTTTGATCTGTGTTTGGTTTAATGCACTGATACAAAACCCATTAGGGCCAATTGCATGTCTGTTTTTTTCTGGATATATTGATTATGGCCACATCCAACAAAATATGTCTAAAATTAAACTCATACACTCACCCAAGCCACATGCACCATCTTGACATCATTGCCACCAAGTCACCTTAGACAAAAACCTGGGAAATATTTTCTTGACAATTCCATCTATCCATTCTTCCTAACATACCCAGTTCAAGCCATCAGCAGCATTCCCCCTAGACTCTTCAAGTGTTGGTGTTCTACCTAATTTCTCTGCCTATGGCTTTATCCCCCTGAAATCCGTTTTCCACAGGAACATCAGAGTGTTTTCCCCAAAACTGATATCTTCTCACATGACTTTCTAATTTAAAGTCCTTCCAGCATTCCTTTCATTGATTGGATAAGTCCAAGCTTTGTAACAAAACAAACTAAATTTTCTGTGAAATAGCTTTTAACTTTCCAGTCCCTCCTTTAATTGGTTTATGCACTAGTAACATTGACTGACTTGTAATTATCCCTAAACACCAAGCTATTTCTGACCTCTGAGGCTGTGAAAATAATGTCACATACTTTTATCAGCTGGTTAGCCACCACTCATTCTCCTAAACTCATTGTAAAAGAGGAGGACTTCTCGGTACTCCCTCATTATGATAAGTGCCCTCATCATTGCCAGAAAGCCTAGAATTTACCTTAATCCAAAATTACCATGTTAAATGGAATTTAATTACTTATACTCTTCTATTTTTTACTGTATGTTTTTGCCTGCAAATGACAGTACTATGTTTATCCTTGTATTCTAAAATGTGGTAAATGTTAGTTATATAATAAATAGTTTGTTGAACTGACAGAAAATTTTACTATTACAGACATGTGGAGGAAATGTGGCCTTAGAGAAATCTGAGGAAATAGCTGTCCAGTCTGAGAGAAGATGAAAGCCAATTTCAAAAGTTTGAAGGTAGCTGTGATCTTCAGAGACAGAGAGGAGACTGGTGCAGTGACTGGAATGGAGTAAGGGAAGCCAAGTTGAGTAGGAGATGAGGTTAATATGAATTGGTGACAAGAGGGAGTGTCCTATGTCAAGTGACAGCCAGCAAACCACTCTGGGCTGCGCTGGCTTTTTTAATGATTCTGTCTTTTACCAGAGTGACATGTGAAAGCCCTGGAGAGCTTGAGCAAAGGAATGAGGTGTTCACTTAGGCTACTGTATTGAGAAAAGATTGAAGGGGACACAGACACAAGTCCAATTAAAAAAGGTTTTCAGCATTCTGGACTAGAAAGTACAGTGGCTTGGACTGAAATATTAATAACCAAAGTGTCAGGAGCTGTTGGCTGTTGTTTTCTGAATCTATTTTGAAAGTAGACCATAGAAGAGTTGCTCAAGGTTAACTCTGAAGTTTGAGAGAAAGAGGAACATTGAGGATGGAAGTAAGGGTGTTTGGTCAGAGCGACTGCACGATTGGAGATGCCTTAAATTCATATTGGATATGAAGTTACCAAGAAGTTTGACAGGAGTACTGTTGAAGCGGATTTCAGGCCGGTAGGAACTAAACTCTTCCAAATGTGACCTGCAGATCTGTAGATGACAATAGGGTGTGAGGTTAGAGAGAAGAGGAGATAACAAGGGAGGGACCTGTCATCTGTACAGCGAGGTAAGTAATGGGTATTACATTTTGTTTAAACCTGAGATTCAAAGGGAAAGCATTAAGGAGAAGGAGGGAAAATAGTCTAGAAATATCAATGAGAAACTAGGAATCCACTCAGTGTATCTCTATAATTAGAGTGGGGAAGAGAAAAAACTATCATGTGAGTGTGCTGCCAGGGAAACAGTGGCCTTTTCTCTGCTTTGGGGGAGCTTTATAAACATGGGAATGATCTACTCTTCAAGGTTTAGTTATACTTATCCTGTCAAGCTGCCTGCATCTGGTGTAGTTTTGGGTCCTTTGAGAACTCTCTGTATTTCCTCTGTGGGATTAGTTTCTTAAGATTTTCTAGCTTTTGGGGATCAATTTTGGTAAACTGTATTTTTTTAATATTCATTCATGTTTTCAAATTTTGTATATTAAAGCAAAGTTGTCCCTGATATGTTTTTTAATTTCTTCTATTTCTACACCATTTCCCCCTTAGAATTTATTATGTCAAGCTGTACTTTCTTCCTTTTTTTCTTCATTAGGTCAGGTAGTGGTTTATCCATTTGTGTTTCCTTGTTTTTTTTGTTTGTTTCTCCTATGAAGTTTTATGACAACTACACAAAATCTTGATAAGATTTCTCAAAAAGAAAAGTACAGACTAATTTCATTAAATAAAATGTCAGTGAATATATTTCAGCAGTTTATTTCAAGAGTAAAACATCATGGCCTAGTGGGATTTATACCAGGAATGCAAAATAGATTTATTTTAGGAACCATATTAAGATCAATCATCATACCATAGCTCAAGAAGGAAAGTCATTACTGCCTTCATATAAGAATATTTATTTGAGTTGAAAAAACCATGATTCTCATTTTTAAAGTCAATAAAATAGAAATAGATGAATACTTTCTTAACATAATAATATATTAGTTTTTAAAACCATACAACAATGTAATGAGGAAACATGGAGGAACTCTCATTCAAGTCAAAAGCAGACAAACATTTTTATTGGAAGTACTAGCAAATGAAATTAAAGAAAAGAAAGTAAATAAAAACAAGGATATAAAATTATCACTCTTTTTAAAATATATTCTTGAATAATATAGGATAATCAACGGGAAACTACAAAAACATAAGAGAATTAAATAAAAAAATAAGTTAAAAATTAATCTAAAGAGATTAATAGCTTTTATTTATGCAAACACCAGCCCATTCAAATATATAATATAATCCTAAGTAATTAATTTATAAATTGAATGTGTTGCTAATAAAAATATAGCTAAAAAAACAAAAACAAAAACAAAAAACGCACTGAACTAGCTTATTTAAAGTCAAAGAGAAAAATTAACAGAAGGAGTATGCAGGAAAATTTTGGAGGGAAAAACATTGAGGTAAGTTAGTACCACCAGAGGATATAGCATAGTATGTAACTTTAACAAGTAACATTGTGTGATAATAGCTCATAAAAAGATAAGTAAATAGTGGAATTGAATAGAAAGTCTAGAGCAACATATAAATACATAAAATATGATATAATAAATGTAACTCAAATTAGTGAGGAAAAGATGAATTATCCAATATATTGTGTGGGGACAACGGGGTATTTGAAAAAAATGTGGTTGCATTAATACCTCCTACTGTACACTAGGATAAATCCTAAGTGCAACAAAGGTTTAAATATACAGTATGAATCTATAAAAGCACTAGTAGAAAACACAGAATAATTATAATCTGGACTTAACATACCATGAGTAAAAATTATGAAAACAGACTTTGCAGAAAAAGTAATGGAATTGGCTCTTAAACATAGGAAATATACTGAACTCACCCATAATCAAATGGATAAAAATTAGATACTATTTCTTACCTATCAGATTGGCAAAAATCCAAATGTTTGATATTACACATGAATAGGGATATTGTGTAGAATTTTCCATTCTTAGACTTTGCAGTTGGAATTGAAAATTGTTATAAGCTCTATAGAAGGCAATTTGGTAGTTACCTATAAAACTTACAGTTACATATACTTTTTAATCTCACTGCGGCTAATTTACTCTATTGATATTGCACACATTCAAAGTGATGCATGTTCTATCTTATATCTCCATTGTTAGTAAAAGAAAGAGACTGAAATTTAAAAGTTCCATCAATAATGGACTTCTTCCACAGTATTACATATACAAGAAGGAATATTATATAGCTGTAAATAAGACTTGAGGAAGTTATCCTGTATTCACATGGAAAGAACCCCAAGACATACTGTGAAGGGAAACAAAACAGCAAAGTGAAGGAGTGTATTTATATTCATTCATATTTTCTTGAAATATACACTGAAAATCTGGAAATAAACAATAAATTAATAAAAGGGATATCTCAAGCAGAAGCCTAGAGAGATACAATTATAATAGTAGGATGCCTGTCTGGGCGCAGTGACTCACGCCTGTCACCCCAGCACTCTGGGAGGCCAAAGCAGGAAGATCGCTTGAGCTCAGGAGCTTGAGACCAGCCTGAGTAAGAGCAAGACTCTGTCTCTACTAAAAATAGAAAAAAATTAGCCAGGTGTGGTAGTGCACACCTGTAGTCCCAGCTGCTCAGAAGGCTGAGGCAGGAGGATCGCTTAAGCCCAGGAATTTGAGGTTGCAGTGAGCCACGATGAGGCCACTGCACTCTGGTCCGGACCACAGAGTGAGACTCTGTCTCAACAACAACAGAAAAATATGGAGTTTTTGAACTTTCTCTCTCTTTTTCTCTCTTTATGGGTATGCACGTATAAACGTGTGTATGTATGTACATGCTACATATATAGTATTTTACCTATATACTTAATATTAGCCATACACTGAGAGGTGGCTTTAAAACCCTGGGACATTACATGCCACTGATAACTTTTGTGAATTTCTTTGAAGAACAAAAAGATCCTTTCTCCGTCTGTCTAAAACCTTGTTTTTCAGTAATAAATTGGAAACATGCCTCTGATATTTCCCAGTTCTCCCACTAAAACAGAGATCTGCATCCTTCTGCATCTGTGAAATCATAGTTAATTATTTTGTCGTTTAATCTTGTCTGTATTGTCCGTTTCCCACTATTTAACCAAATCAAAATATGCAGTTCCTGCGAATCTGGTCTCTCTGATTTTCTGATCTAATTTAGATGTTTATAGGATAAAAGAATGCTTGCTGCTCTTCTTAAATTTAATTACAGAGTTAAATGGGAGCGATGAAAAGACCGCATTGGTTCTAACATAAATTACCTTCTCTCTGCAGGAGGAGCATTATCCGCTGCTTGGACTGTGAGCGCATAAGTCCGCCCGACTCTCAGTTCCACCCCCGGAGCGATGGTGATAAGCCCTGTTGTTTTATTGATGATGAAGTCTCTCTGAGCCCCAGCCAGGATTTCATATGTGATCTCACCATTTGACCCTTCGTCTGCGTCGACTGCAGTGAGCTGGAATTGAAAATCACAACATAAATCCTCCTGGGACTCAACTTTTCACCATCACTTTGTTATTTCCCCCAACCAAAGGAGCTAGCTTTCAAAGATAAAACATAAGTAAAGAAAATTGTCTTGACATATATATTCTTGTTTTCTTGAATTGAGGCCACCGTGTTGTTATGATACTGAAGAATTCACAGCAAGAAGGATTTTTCCTTTTCTTTTCTTGTGAGAGTGATAAGGAAAAAAATTTTTGATCTTGAAGTCTATCTTTATTTTAATTTAATAAAGGAAAAAAGAGGAAAACCATAACAGAAAATGTAATATCCCTATAGGAAATTTAATTTTTTCCCCCTATCTTACCTAGTGTTCTTGACACATAAATACATATTACTACAGATTGAGACCTGGAAAAAATGAAATAGAAGTTTCCCTTTATTACTGTCATCCTTTCTTTTGCTTTCATTTTTTCCATTCATAATGTTCTCCTTCCTGTCTCCCAGAGACTCTCCTGCCTTTTTGTCTTTTTTATTTACACTCTAAGAAAGTTTCTTATCTTGTCCACACTGACTTATAAAAGACTGATAAGGCCTGGAGTATTATTACCCTTTCAAAACCAAATAAATGCATCTCTAACTGTTGAATATTTAATGTAGCCCAAGAATTTTTGAGGAAAGGGAATCTATTCAGAACCCTTGAAATTATATCCCATTAACACCTGTAAAGCTAATTTACATATATTTACAATCATTTTGAGGCACCTAGTATCTAATAAAGACTATATATGGATTATTATATGTGAAAAGAGAATAATTGATTAATTTCATAAAACAGCAGTAAGGTCATAGTGATTTATTATATTAAAGAAGTCTCCTTGACTTTCTGATAAATATAAATTTACTTAAGGGGGAAAAAGAATAAAAATAGATTCTAGTGGGAAATTTTATAATATATACATTCACAGTAGTTTCTGTTTTTATAATTCCAAAAGTGACGGATGAAAGACAGAAAGGTGGCCCCAAGAAATGTAAACAAAGTACTTTATACACCCTATCATGCTCAAGGACTTACATTATGCATATTCTATCTCTACTTTTATTATAGGCTACATTTAGAGTGATAATGTGCACAGAAATAGCAGCAGCAGAAATAATTGAGAAGAAAAAAAAGGAAATTTGAGAGACTGGCATTGATGCAGCTAAGTCCTGAGATTGGGTATATGAGGGTGGACAGATGTGGCTGCCAGAAGGAAAGGCACTTCATGAAATGATTCTGGGACTTATACGAGCATGACAGGCACACTCCTAAAGGCAAAGGAGAAGAAAACTATTTGCAGAAACAGTCAAAATGAATGATGTATATTCATGGAGAACTAGTCAAGCCAGACAAACTCATTCTCTCTTGTGTGTGGATAAAATTAGAAAATTAGAGGATGGGGTAGCAGAGGAGATATCAGTTTTGATTATAGTAAATAATTTAAATGAAATGTCTCAGGAATTCTTAATTAAAATTTAGCTCAAATTGGATTCGATATTAACATTCTTCCTGGGACATAAATTGGCTAAAGAAATTTAATGATAAACGGCAATGCATCAAGCTAAGAAGAGGTGTTAAGGAGTGTGCTTCAGTGATGTATAGGTATTATGGCTGGTCTTATTTAACATTTTCATAAATGACACTGGAAGGGAGGATAAGCCAGATGATAATTAAATTGAGAAAGGCACCCACCCGGGAGGTGCTGTAAATACCAAACAGTATTGCAAAGCACAGGAGATAGAAACACCCCAAAACCACAGAGCCAGCCACAGATAAGCTAACATATTGAGGGACCACAACTACCTACACGGAAACTATTAGGGTTTAGAAAGTTTAACAAATAAGGCAAAAATGAATTCTATGTTTAGGTTACTTAAATAGTTTTATACTGTTTTTCAGTCCTTTAGTATTAAGTAATAAAATAGTAGGTTAACAATCAACATAACTTTGTTTACACATATGCTAACAAAAATATCTGGAAGAAATGATTGGTGATCCAAAATTAGGAAAGGGGCCGGGCGCGGTGGCTCACGCCTGTAATCCTAGCTCTCTGGGAGGCCAAGGCGGGCGGATGTTTGAGCTCA